CCTGTGTAATTGGTTAGTGGAGGTTCTGTTGTGGGTCCAGACATTGGACACTTACGGCGCTCTTCCCCTGAGCTAACATGCTGGGATTGGTGGAGGGACATCTGATTTTGACCTCATAAGCCAGATCATGCAATAAATAAATCAATTAAACGTAGGGCCCTTGGTACCCCTTCTGCCCTCTGCTTGTATTTCTGGCTATTTACTATATAAATTTGTCGACTTAGTTTCTTGAATTTTTGCTTTGAATCTACTTCTCGGTGCTGTTATGGTAACATCTCAGGCAATTCCAGATATGCCTCGAACAATATATATAGTGTGTGCGTGCATGCAATCCGACCAACACGAACAAGCAGGGAAAGAAAGCTGGTACATGATAAACTATGCACGGTCATTTCATACAATTGCACCAAAGCTACCAACCAAATGCATCACCTCCCACCAGCCTGAATGCCTCCAAGCCTGCCTCCCCGACTAGCAGGGAAATTGCGCGCACTCAACAGCGCACCCTTAACACCACGAATATCCGCCCTGAAGCCAGAAATGGCATCCTCTTCAGCCTTACGCAGACCGGAATTGTTATCTGACCCAGATGTATGGGTAGCGTTCCACACACCGTACGTTGATCCCGTCGAGTACGCCGGAGCACTATAGATCAAGCCATCGCAGTAGTGATGGAGATCGGAGAGACCAGTGCGCATTTTACTATCAAGAGAGCTGGCATCATTCTCAGAGTCAATGATGCCTCGCAGCTGTGAGGTGATGGATTGGATTCGGCTGACGTGGTTGTTAACTGCAGTCGTCGGCGTTGCGATAGCCGAGTCTGCTGAGTTAATCGGATTTGTAGCGATGGGTGCTGGTGTCGGCTCTGGACTAGTCTGTGTTGCGACGTCCCGGTGGAAGAGTTCTGTTGGGTCGGAAGTGATGGAGTCGGTGTCGTTGGCCTCTTCTTCTTCGTCGCCGTAGGGCTTGGCCTTGCGCGCTGTGAGCTGGGGCGGGATGACGGAGACTGTCTTCTCGAGCTTCTCGTTCAGCTTCTGGAGATTATCTTCTGCCGTCGTTGCTAGTTCGTGCCGTGCGCTTGTTAGGTTCGCGAGCATTGGTTTCACCAGGTACTCGCTTGCGCCGTAGATGCTTGCTCCTAGACCGGCTGCTCCATAGAGCGTGTAGAGGAGGCTGCGCATTGTGACCAGGGGCGGTGGCTTGTTCGAATCGAAGAGAAATTCCGGGTAGGTTATTATGGGAGGCACATCGCGGGAGGCGGTGGTAGACGCTGACGCTAGGCGCTGTGGCGGCATGGTATTGGTATTGGTAGAGGTCGGCGTAGATGTGACAGGAGCAGAGGGAGTGTGTTCAGGCCGAGGGGATGAGGCGGGTTGTGTCTCTTCCTCCGTCTTATCATCGGCCGTGGTCGAGCTGCTACTTGCCTCCGCGCTTCGGGAGACGCCGAGGACCTGCTGAATGTCCTCGGGGCTCAGACCTTTGGTTTCAAGGAAGGCAACTTTGCGGTCTGTTGGTTTGTCCTTGATTGACTCATCTTCCAGGAATTTGGATGCTTGTGCTAGCAGGTCTTCTCGGGATGTAGTTGAGGGTGCGGGCGCATCGTCGGAGCTCGGCGCTGACGATGGCGATCCATCTGCCGTGCTACTGGCCCTCTGCCACGAGGGGATGGAAGATTTGGGTGTGTCGTCTGGCATTATGATGTGTCTGAGTCCCCAGCGAGAGTGATGAAGAGGCCAGAGTGGAGAGGAGAGGCTTCCCCGGACTTGGAGCCATGTGAGCCCGACCTCGGCTGTTGCAACATCGGTCTACGCCTCAGGCACCAACAAAAATATATATTCTTCGTTTTTACGTTTTTCACTACAATTTATATGTTGACCCCTTGCTAATTATGATTAAACCGTAATTATATTGGTTATGAAGAGCTGAGCTAGAGCTGAACTGAGACAGATACAGCCTATCAAAACTAGATTCAAAACTAGATTCAAAACTAGATACGTGAGACGAACCCACGCATCTGACCAATGTCCATAGAATACATTGAAATGTATGAGACTCAGCTATTCATGGAACTAATCAATCAGAATGAACACTTTAACTAACAATTGAAACTGAACAAACCCGTAAACCCCGATATATAAAAGACACCGCCCGGCAGAATGGCTCGGCCAGTACTTCATTCGCTCAACGTCAACACAAACTGAGACGGAAAGTACAAGTGAGTATGTGCCCCCGATTCCTGCTATTGCCTTTGACTTCTGCCCTACTCCCCTTAAGCATGGCGGTATCGGCATCTCCTAAGGGACTATGCCACCCTGTAGCGCTTTGTTCCTTTGAACCGTGGCGTCCAGGACCTGTGCCTCCCCGTTTGCACCTCCGCATCGCATCCTGTAGATGAGGTGATTGGGTGGGGGATATCTTTCCTGCCTCTTCCAGGCGTCCCCCGACTTCCCGATGGTTTAAGTCGCTACTGCCACACACTTATCAATTACTCTATCCCGCATCTTTTTCTCTGTTTTCTGCACTCCCACAAGCCCCCTATCACATTGGGCACCATGTCACTCCGCCGATCTCGTCGATCGCGAGGCACAAAGGATGAGACCGCAGAACCGGACGCTAACATGAGGACCAGATCAACAAGACAAACCCGTGCTACTACTTCATCTGTATCTGTCTCTCGGTCTTCATTGGACTCCACTGGAGAATCAGTCAGATCACTTCGCCTGACAGTGAAAATGCCCGCCAACAGACTACGGGAAGCGACGGGCAGTGGCCGCGCCGCGCGCCGCTCTGTTAATGTGTTTCGGGAAGATCCCATTGTGTCGGGACCCCGCTCCAGTCGGAACCGAAAGAAGATCGTAGAAGTTGCTACGAGCGATGAGGAAGAAATCGGCGACCAAGAGGAAGATGAGGTCGACGATGAGGATGCACCTGGAGATGACGATGATGAAGATGAAGCTGACGGCGACGTCGATATGGATGAGACCCCACCACAGCCGCCTGTAAGACGCGGCAAGGCTGCTCCTGCGCCTCGCGCAAAGCCTCCTAAGAGTGTCGAGGCTAAGGAAATGGAATTAGATGAAGATGAAGAGGAAGATGAAGAAGATGAAGAGGAGGAGCAGATGTCTGACTCCGACGAGGATGCCGAGGGTGAGGTCGAAGATCAGGACGAAAGCGGAGTCCCGGATGTCACCGTCGATGATATGGATGAACTCGATGACGATATGCTCGACGAAGAATTGGAGGGCGAATTCCTGGATGGCGGCAAGATGACCAAGCGTCAGCGAGGGAACCTTGGCAATGATTTCTTGCAGCTCCCTATGGGTAAGAAACACCATGAATAAACGCGCAAAGGGTGGATCTGACCAGTAAACAGAGCCCCAAGTCAAGAAGCACTTGACAGCGGAAGAGCGTCAAATGCGCCGTGCAGAGATGGCTCGGCGACGGAAGAACCTGAGCGAAAAGCGCAACGAAGAGGAAAAGGTATGCGTGTGAAGTTCGTGATGGAAGGGCTTCTGCTAACCATGGGAACCAGATGGACACAATCAATCGACTTCTCAAGAAGCAGGCCCCGAAACGACGTGGTCGTGCCGCGGCAAACGAGGCCGCGGATGGCACCCCCGCTGGTCAAGATGTCTCTGAGCCTGAGAAGGCCGACCCTATTTTCGTCCGATGGGTCAGTGGCCCTAGTGGCTGCAAAGTCAACGTGCCAGAAGAATGGCTGGGCACACCTTCCGGGCGTATGTTTGGCGCCCCTCCAGCCGACCCTGCGGGGAAAATGGTTGGAGAACTTTGATGCTATACAATGCAGTTACAACGGAACGGCGCTCTGAGGAAATATCTTAATACGGCAATCGGGACTGGATCATCTTCATTTGAAAGGGAATGGCGTTCAAAACATGTTTTATTTACGAACAAGCTTGAACCATGCAATTCATCATATTTGACACTCCAACTACACCGTCTTATGCGCCGAATGAGCCATATCATAGCTCTTATATATAGATATAGATTAGCCGACAAGGAGGCATCATATAGCACTCCGTGCTCCCAATCCAGTTAAGTCCGGAGTACCCTACCAGCAAGTACTTCGAAACTGACAGTTAAATCAATCCCAGATGTGCCACAATCCAGTCAGAAGACCGGGCAAGTGCAATGCAACACCTATCCTACCCCGAATGCCAGAGTCTCGGGGAAGAACACGATATCCAATGAAGAAGTCAAGCCATCTTCCGCGTTCAAAAAGCCAATGCCACGGAACACCCAAGCTCACTGTCTCTCCGTCGTTGACGTAGCGGAGTCGCCCTGAGGAGTGGGAGCATCGGCTTTCTGCTTTGAAGCAGAAAGATCTGATAACGTAGCAGGCTGACGGTTTGCGTTTGCCTTCTCGTATTGTAGTTGCTGGAAAGTTGGTTGGAAGGTGTAGTAGCCTGCAGATCGGAAAATTCGGGGTTAGAAAACCGGGTTTTGGAGATAGATCTGGCTCTTGAGGAAGCAAACATACCTGTGAAAACACCGACGCCAATGGCAAGAAGGGCTGGGACGAAATTGCGACTCATTTTGTGTATCTCGAGGGGACTAGGAGGTTTGATGGGCTTGGGTTCGGGGACTGACAGAGTTCGGAGGTGATGCGGGAGAGACGTTATCAGTTGGCTGATTAGCGGCGCGTGAAATCGTTCCTTCACCACGCGTCGAATTACAACGAGACCATTACGAACATTGTCTGGCGTTTGATCCTGGTGCATTTCGTGATTTCCAGCCCGAGAATTCTTTTACGCTCCATTTTGACGCTCTCCAATGACTTAATAGAGACATGGGCGATCCCCGCCAAGGATGCAAATGGAATCATGGCGGCAACGAGGTTATGTCCCTGACTCGGACTCGGACGAAGAAGATGGATTCGATTCGATAGAGGCGAAGAAAGCAACTCTCGCCAATGGCTCTGATGTTCATGATCTCGACTATATCTCTATCCCCATCCCTGCGTCGAAGCCGAAGTTGAAGGAAGGGACGAACGGTTCAACGGAAGAGCAGCACGAACGGGATGGTGCTGAGGACGGCTCGATTACATTGTTGGATGTTGAGGAGGAGACTCGCCGGGACTCGCCTGAGAAAGGTCTTGGAAACCAGCAGGCTACGAAGTCTAAGGCCGAGGACGAACGGAGAACTATATACACAGAGCCCGAGGGAGGGACTGAACACGATGGAAATGAGGAGATCACGCCAGCCCGTCGACGAGGGCGCAAGACCTACGGTACCCGGTCATCGGCTACGAAAACGAGGAATCGTCGCAGCAGCGAGCTGCGCAAGACCCCGGCGACGAATACAGACAGAATATACGATTTTCCGGAGTCCTCGCAGGAAAAAGACAAGCCTTCATCGAAACCTGCAAGTCTGGAGTCCACTCCGAAAGCTTTGAAGCCTGGAGGGCTGTCACCACCGCGAGTTATAACAGAGCCTCGGACGCCCAGGGCTAATATTCGGGTTGAGATTCCGAGATCTATTAGCTCCTCGCCAGATGAGCTGAGCCTGGTTCCTCTGCCTACCCGGAGAAAGACGCCTGTGGTCCATCGTGTCCAGCCGAGAGAGGTATCGCCACCTCCAGCATCGCCGCAAGTGAACTCGGACGATGACTCCCCGTTGTCTTCTGTGCCGTCCTCGCTTGGCTCGACGCCAGGCCACAATCCTATGGAGACAGAGAAGGTGGTAAGTGGAGAAGAGAACGGAGATGCACAGCCACAGACAGCAATGCTCTCTGATCTAAAAGACACGCTAGATGACCTACTGCCTCATCTGGATATCCCTGAAGACGTCTTGCGGGAAATGCCTCAAGCAGAACAAAGAACATTTCGAAAGCGAAATGCCATCCAGTTGCAGCCATACTACTTGGAACAGCTAAAGTATGCGCAGCAAATGAAAGCGCGAGGCCTCAAACCAATTCGTCAAGCTGTTCGCCCGCAGGTACAGCAAACTACAGATGAGAGCCAAGGGCAAGATTCATTCGACCCGAATATGCCTCCCTCAAGCCCTCCCCAGGAGGAGTATCTTCTGCCTGCCAGGCCAGAGAAGCCGCGAAATTCTGTTAGACAAGATCGGGAACATAATGACTCTGAAACACCTCGAAACTGGGAAGCGCATATGGTGAAACGACGGAAGATCTCACACTCTGGCACACCTCGTGCACGTCGGGATCGTTTGCACAAGCCGTCTAAACCTCGCGGGATCAGAGATACAGCCCCCAAAAACCAGGGTGGCCCTATCGTTTATGATCTTTCATCCAGCCCGCCACACACAGGCCGCCTATCTTCTGCATCAAAAACCCCTCGAGCATCAGTCGGGTTCCGCTTTCCTCGCGGATGGACGCCACCACCCGGGGTAACAAATCCTAGGGCCCAGGAAGAAGAGAAATCAGATGAGGACGAGCCACCTGAGCCAGACGCTGACCACGACGAGGAGATACAATCTGTCTCTTCTGATAGCCAGCCGAGTGACCATGAGCAGAACCAGGCGGATGCAGAAGAACGTGCCATTCGACGAGAGCAACGGCGGATTCGGGGAGTCCTTCCCGCGTCATGGTTTAGGCTTGATCAAAAAGCCAACGAAGATAAAGCAAAGCCCTCACAACATGATCGTCATGTTGGGCACCGCCCAGAGGGGAAAGGTGTTGCACGAAAGTTGATTCGGAGAGGCGATCGCTCGAAACCAGCAGCCACACAGCAGCCAACCAGCCTCTTTGATCTTGGAGACTCTGATGACGACGAAGGCGACCGCAACGACGACAACAGAACCGCGCCTATCACCGATGGCTCCAGCTATCGTTTAGCTGGTACAGCTCACTCCGAAGACCCCTTTGCGCTGGATGCAGGTGATATATCGGAAGATAATCGTATTGACTACATGTTTGCACCAGCCCCACGCAACGCCACTGGAAATCGACACAAGCGAAAGAGCTTGAAGAGGCCGAAATCGAAAGAAGGCATGACTCACGATGAAAGGCAACGAAAGAGGCCTAAGCAAACTCGGATGACCGATGCTTCGTATGGAGGACGGAGAACAAAGAAATCGTCCACTGTTTCACGGCCACGCTTAGGCATATTGGATGCACCAGATGTTGCTACACAGCCTCGCAAAGAGCAACCACATTTTCTTAGGGTTGCAGCAAGATGTGCACGCTCCCGCCGAGATGGAGGCAGACAAAGCCCTACTCAAAAATTCTTGAAGCTAGCCTCAAGAGCTGACACGGTGGATGCAAATGAGACCTTACGAGACTGGAAGACGGGAGCAATTCGGCAGTCCAGAATTAGTCCACCACAGCCTAGGGTTCGCATGCGTCAGCAAGCACCAAAGAAGCCGTCAATTCTTGGTCCTCGTGCTATGCCAAACGCTGGCCAGGGAAGAAATGCTCGAATAACCAATCATTTTCCCACAGAGAAAGATGAGGTTGTTCCACGGAGCTACCCTGCTGAACTGTCACAATCACCACCTGAATCTGGTGCAATCTCAGTGACATCGAACCAAACCCCTGAACTAGAGTTTTCTTCTCGACGTCAGCCAGAACAGCGAGGGAACACCTGGGTTATTCCTAGGAATACTGCAATCACTTCCTTGAAAAGGAATGCCCCTCGGCCTGCTGTAACGAGTTCGGCGGGCCCTGGTGGGAGCAAGAAATTGACACCGGCTGCTTTCAATCAGTCACTATCCCTGATCAACCGACATTATCGCAACCAACGCACGTCCCAAAGTTACAGGCCTAGCCTGACTTTGGACCGTTACCTTACTGACAGTGGATCGACAAGTGGTGGAGTCAATCCGTCGCCCAGACCTCCAGCTGCACCTCCAGTTGAACCAACAAATCAAGCGCCAGCCCAGAAAGCTCTTCCACATCGACGACGGCTGAAGAAGCATACTCCAAATCGTATCAATCTCGACACTGATGAGTTCCGCCAGATGCAAGACACTGCGGTAATTGTCTCTGACAATCAAGAACCTCCTACTATAACCCACATCGGAAATGCACAGCCTTCATCTTTGAGTGTTGGTGGACTGTTCAACTGGCATCGTTTCTACCCGGTCGACTTCGGTATACCATCCCTACGTGACAACACATTCTTCCATGAATCTACTTTCATAGGAAGCGGGGAGTTTTCCCGAACAATGCAGCTCGCAAAGCGAAACTTGGATGGGGGTGCTAGTTCATTTTCTATTCAAGCCAGGGACCAGACCTTTCAATGGAGCAGCTGGAACGACACTGTCTCCTCTGAAATGGGCCATGTCTTTGATGTGATAATCGACAACGTTGAGCGAAGTGCTACCACCTCACCCGAAGTGGGAATCACCGCTGCTCTGGGGGTGGCATCACGCATTTACAGGTTGTTGATCAAATACATCACGGAGAACCTAGTGTTCATTGATCCAGTTGATCGGACCGGCTTCATCACTAGAGCCATGGGGCTGGTCTCCGTGGTCAGAGATCCCCTGGTTGCCTTTCTTTCCAGTGATGAATACAACAAAAAAGGCCTAGTCAAGGTTGCTTGCTTTGACGTAGTATTCTCGAACCTGATCTATCAAATTGCTTCTCACCAGCTTGTCAGCCCTGCGCTTGCCATTGAAGCGCAAGACCTGGTTAAAGTCTCTGCCAGAGATGTTGCGGGATTGATCACAACTGATGTTGGTTCCTCTGAGTTTAAGAGGTTCCTCGACGAAAACAACAAGACTGAGCGTCGCGAATCAGGCATTCGCGATGAATACCCATCTGTGGAGGCTTACGTTGTGATCAAACACCTGCTGCGTAGCTCAGAGCAATACAGGGGCTGTTTTGAAGAACTGCAATTAGAGACCTTCAACGGTAATGTCATTCGCAATGAAAAGGATGTTAGTAGCCTGGAGGATGGATGGCGTGGCCTGTTCACGGTCTTGCCGTTCAACGAGATGGATCAGTTCGGGATAGGGCGGAATGGATACCAACTGACAGTTGTCCATGATAACTGGAAATTGGTCCAAAGACTTCTTTCTCCTGCTCTGGATCACTCCGAGGCGAACTCTACGACCCAGCCTTTCTCATACAACGGCTACTGTCGAACCCTCTTCCACCGGTGTCACCGTCTCATCAATTCCTGGGGGTGGCGAGAATGCAAACCTATCTTGGACACACTTTTTGACTTCTTCGCGAAAAACACTCTATACAATCTGAAGTTCGAGGAAGCTCGTGGGTCGCCTTCTTTCCTCGATGAACTCGATGGCAATCCATCTCTGGACGCCCGAGTTGGAGAACCATGCTTCCACACATTCCTCAAGATTATAGCGAGTGGTCTACGTTTCCTTGCGAAGAGATATGACAAGAAAAAGATTCGAAACTTTGCCTGGCGCCTACTACCTAATCATGGCCGCGTGTACCCAAAAGAGCAACCATTGCGACACGAGGACCTCGACGCACTAAGAAATCACCATGATCTCCTGAGTACCCTGTACTGGGCTGTTCCTGATGGGTGTCGTCCCCGACTGGAAACAATACGCAATCTGGTTCACCCTGCCACCTCACACCGAGAAGCCTGCAGTATCAGTTTACGTTCTTGGTCGCGACTTGTTCGATTCAAACTTTCCACAGATGAGGATGTTTCCGGCCTCGATCCGTTCGGTGACTGGTATGGCTATTTCGTAACAGAGCTACAACAACAACATTCATACGCTCGCAAAGAGATCGAGTCTCAAAGTACTGGCGACAATCGGGTTTCCCAGCAGCTTATCGAACGCACAATCTCCCAAAATCAGCGGCAGATCGAGACCCTGTTGAGCACAGCGCTTGCTGGGCTGCGTACTGCTGTCGAACTCGCTCCCAAACTGGAGCATGCGCATAGGCTGGTTCTGAAGACGCCTTTTGCCTCGATCCTTGCGCTCTTCAACCCAAAACTTCCACGGGTGAACGTTGTTGTATCTGAGGCTTTGCAGGTGCTAGTGCTGTACACCCAGAAGGATCTTCCCGCTGCATCGGTAGCAGAGGCTCCCGCGGCAGTGGCTATTGATGAGGATAGTCAAGAGTTTGGGGACTGGGCTGCTATTGAGGCTGTTTGGGAACAGCAAACTTCTCCGAGCGAAGCTGTGGAGCATGTAGAGAGGGATTTCCATCCAATTGTTTCCCGTCTCGTTTCTGACTGCTTTGGTGAGGACCACTGTCCGGAAGATGCCATCCTTCTCAGCGTGGTGGATTGTTGGACCTCAATCGCGCAGGTTCTTGTTCGCCATAGACTTCGGAACTGGGACAACTATCTAAGTGAATTCGGTGATGATTCCTGGGCACGGCTTCGACAGACGGTTCAAACAAGAAAGTTCGCTCCACAGTTCCTCGCCGCTTGTATCGAGAAGGATTCGCAAATTGTTTCGGATTGCCGTATCCAAGTTATGACCATGTGGATGACATCGCTGGTTGAGCGTTCTTCAATGCTGAAGTTTCAACATCGGCTTACAGAGGCCCTTCTGAACGAAAGCCCCAAAGATCCTTTGCTTGGGAATCTTCCGTTCTCCAAGGATAAAAAGGACCGGTACACGATCACACTGGAGGAGATCAGTTCCCGGAGACTCTCTCTGCTTTCAAGCCTATCATCCAATATGCGCGAGCAGCTTCAAAACATGGAGCTCTCCGGCAGTCGGAACTTCTCAGTGACAAAACAAGAGTATTCTGAGATACTCCAGCGAGTGATGACTTCAATGAAAGACAACTACCGAGAACTAGGCAATGGGACAGCACAAGCCGCTCAAGGAGCATATGTCAGCTTCGTGCATAGCGTCATCGGCTTTCTTCAGCAACACACCAGCGATATCAAGCCCATAGACCCTTTCTTCACAGACCCTGCCTCATTCCCCTTACCATCTAATGACCCACGCTACATCGTTGCCAAGCTGAAACGTTACGAACCGAAGCTGTCGTCCAGCTCAGAAATTCAGACTCTGACTGGGTTCATCCAAAGCATTTCCGAACGCGCCGTCATCGATGGCCAACAGGACTACCTGGTCGATCAAATCCACACATCGATGAACAACATCTACGAAGCCGGAAATCCAGATAAGCCCACCCTCCGTGCCACTCTCCTGCAGTGTGTCTTTCCAGCGTACCTCGAAGAAGCCCTTGGCAACCGCGCCGCCTGGCTGCTCAGCCGTCCCATCATCCAGACCATCACGCTCGTATTCGATGACTTGATCTGCAACCTGGATACCCTGGACCCAGCCTGTGTGTCATCAGTCGTCGAAATGATCAAGGTTGTGTTCCAAGTATCCAGCCAAGCACTGTCCAGCCTCGAAAATCGTCGCCACCGCCTAGCAAGCCCGGCAACTCTAGCAATGCTCGCCGTGTTCATGGACATGATCTCGTCTGCTCTCCCAGTAGTAGACTACGTCAACCGGGCGACGGGTTCCGGAGAGGAAATCTTCCCGCTCATCGAGTGGTTCCGCGATTTCACCAATGTTGTAACGGCACATCTACACAGTGCGGATTCAAGTGTAGGGTCACCGCCGAGCGATGCCTTCATCGCGTTCCCAGACGCACCAGATACTTCAGCTAGCAGGAAATCGGACCTTTTCCGCACGGCTCACTCCCTCACATCTACGGACCTCCAGGCCTATCTCAAGAAATGGTCTTGGCATCAGGGCAAGTATTATTTCACTCGTCCGGGACATGAGTCACAAGAAATCGAGATCGATACTGGGGTTGTTGCGTTGATGAACAATCAGTCTGAAGCGTTGAAGGCGTTTGAAGATGCGGCGAGTGGATTTTTGCATCGAGCTGAGGTCTTGGAGTTGTTATTCTAACTTTAATGTGGCTGTTCTTCGTGTTCATTGTATATGGCGTTTCTCTGGTGAGACAAAATAATGTGTTACGAATATCTAGACATTTTAGAAATGTTATTATGTACCAGTATTTCCAAATAGACGGTTTTATGCGTCGAATCCCCTTTCGTACTTGATAGGATATACAAGATGTTACAACAAGCTACATTGCATAGAGAGAGGCTCAAGGTTAAGTCCAAAGAAATGGCAGATGTCGTTTATGTGGTCATTAACGAGAACAACGCTAACCCATCCCAGCATGTTAGCTCAGGGGAAGAGCGCCGTAAGTTACCTTGTGAAGACCCACAAATGAACCTAAACTAACCAATCATGCAGGGGCTCATAACCCGGAGGTACGTTTCACCGACTCCATCAATTACCGCATTCAGCGATCCTAACAGACAATAGGACCCTGGATCGAAACCAGGACATGCTATGTCTATCTTTTTTTCCTTTTTCTTTTTCTGTCAACCATAGCATTTCTCACAGGTAGCCTTTACTCTTTGGAGGATCAACCTCAAGTGACGAAATTTGGCCGTTTCACCTACTCCCTAAATGACGTAGCCGTGTACCTCAGATCTTCCCATCTCAGCATAACGTATATTGCAAGCCAGCGCCGCAGTCAGAAACCATGGTAAATGCGATATGTTACAACTTCATAACTCGACAGCTGTCGGTTGATTTGACTTACTGTTAAGCTCGTGATATCTTACTCCTATGATAAATGAATCGTATTTACGAGGATCTAATATACGATATTTTTTATAAGATTGCAATTAATACAGCTGTAATTTAGCGATATCAGATAACAACATATATTTGACAGTTAGTTTTTATCGAAATCATAGTAGGGTGTTAGGGTACACTAGTTTAACTATTACGAGTATTAGACACTAGTAAGGAGTAATATATTGCTCTAGTTGTCGAATTATAGAGTTGTAAAATATCGCATTTACTATGGTGCTCTGACTGCGGCGCTCGCATGCGAAATACGTTATCTACTTTCTACACACGTCAGCACCACAAGACGGCAAAATGAGCATCTCTCAAGAACTACCATCATGGTTCTCTTCCTCGTACATCGAAACCTCACCGTCTTGCTCACAGCTTGTACTTCCAGCTGACAATGCAAAGCCAACGATCATATCATTCTTCCGACATTGCGGATGTCCAGGTCCGTTACCTACAGTACATACATGACTTGAGCCAAAACTGACATGTCCTGATGGAGCCACCGAAGCAATGAGAAATGCAACAGCCCAACACCCCAATATCAACTTCATCGCCGTGTCTCACAGCGACCAGCCATAAACTGAGAAATGGCTAGAAGCTATCGGTGGTCCTGGCGAAGCTGCATTAGACCCTGTGGCTGTTATTGTCGTTGATAAGCGTGAAATTTATGCAAAATGGGGCTTAGGTGTTGTTTCTTAGGGCCATGTTCTAAGTGTCGCGGGCTTACTGGGGGTCTGGAAAGTCGGGAAGGAAAAGGGTATTTGGAATAGGCCAACAGAGAGTGGTAGTAGATGGCAGTGTAGTGGGCAGTGGGCAACTGATGGGGAGGGCTTCGTGTGCTGGGGAGGACCTGCGGCGAAGGCAGATGAAAGTAATTGATATTGCGGAGGCGATTCATGCTCTGCGAAAGCCTGATGCACGCTGACCGGTGCTTGACGCTCATGTTTTGATTCGAACTGTGGAAGCCTGCAGAGCTCTCACTTGATTACTTTTTTGTCTACTGGCTTGACAGAAGGGCCATGTGCAATCAAATACTATCTTTATTCGGGCGAGCTTCGATACGATATAGAGCGGTACTCTCTCGCCGAGAACCTTCCTCCCGGCGTATCAGTGAGCCATGTTGCTTCGATCTGAATGTAGATCTCCAATATTGAAGTGAAGATGTGATGCCACGCACTATAAGATCCGCTTACGAACAATAACAAGATTTGAATATACCAGACAACCGAAATACAAACTCAGTGTTCATGTAGGGTGCTGGAATACAGGAGCAATAATAAAAGATCGATATACTAGGTTCGAGAGATCCTGCAAAGGACCGGGGAATATGTACCTGTATCACGGGTCCCTTCGTCCCTGGAGCTTCAACGGCATACCGATCCAAAGCCAACGAAGAAGGACACATATTCTAAAGAGGTAATCATGATTCTACACTCATTCGCCTATTGCTCTAATAATCACTTTTCTTAAAGTGGCTTCATCTTCCGACGCAACCTTTTGTTTTTGTCTTTCTTATCTCCATTGCTTTGGTTTCCCAACATGGCCCCCGAACAATCAAAACAACAACCGTCACGCAGTCTGGATGAAACCATACCAGCTTCATGCAGCTTCACGAGCCAAGAACTAGATTCTGAGACATGGAGCAGGTGGATTCGCTGCGTGTACACACCTGGTCTCACGGCGACTGAGTTCCTCGATCACTGGAATCAGGCATACAGTTGCACCCAAGCAGATTTGATGGCATTAGATACCGAAATACCCAAAATTGTTCAATATTGGCAGTTCCTCGAAGCAGTTCATTCCCACCCCGACTTGGAACAGTGGTATCCCAATGCGGATTGGGAGTCGAAGGAAGCTATTTCGATGGATCAAGTTCGAGGCCAATTTTTGGAAATTGCTATCAACATCCCCGCAAGAAAACAAATCGTCGCACTTGTGGCCCGATCGTCTAGTGGAAGTCGCATGGAAAAAGACGACTATCTTCTCTGGAGTCTAGAGTGGACCAAGCTTTTCTATGAGAGGACTTACGGCAAAATTCAATCCGAATGCCGCTTTCTCACCTTTGTTCAGTCATCAAATACCCCCTTGCGGCCAACCGGAGAGGTATCGACTTTTTTTGCCAGCCTGCGCAATGAGGTTGAAGAATATGAGGGAGAGTTGCTCATAGTCGTCAACGGCTGGGATGGGTTAACGACTGATCGAATGAGCTTCTACAACCTGTTTTCCCACTGGGCAGAGCGCATTACTCTCCGAATCTATTCCCAGGAGTCCACCTGGCAGCAAAAGAAATTCTTCGAAGTCAATGTCGCGCACGTCTGCTCGGTCTTCAGAGGTGAAATAGAGTTTGATATTGAGGACCTGGACAACGGCTTCTCTCTCAACGATTCGACCGCTTTGTTCATTCGGAGATTTAGCGCTATCTCTCTAATCAAAGATGATATTTCTGTTGTATCGACCGAGTTGCGTGCGCTGACCAACGTCAGAAACGAGCAGCCGGAGTCCCGCAATTTATCAAAACACATTTGTGGCGACTGCAATATCCCATTTCCGACTTCTATTGACCTTAATCGGCACATGCATCACAAGCACGAGCAACACGAAAATCCTGAAATGCATCTGCGCTGCACTTTCTGTGGGTATCTATTCTCGAGGAAGGACCACAGAGATCGACATGCGAGAGAGACATGCCCCCAAAACCGGACCTCACAGTCTTTGATCCGTGAAACTGTGTTTCATCAGCCATATCTGCCCAAACACGAGCCCACAGCGGACCGAAAGTGCTCAAAAGCCCTGCAACCCTCTCTTGACCAGCAGCCATTGATCAAGCAAGAGCCTCCAGCCAAGAAACTAAAGCGCTGTCGAAGAGGAAGTAAAGTCCGGTTCCTACCCCCAGAGTCTCTGCCTAAAGGTTCGGATAATGGAATTCTTTCTTATTACCAACTCACAGAGAGGCACGCCAAACATCTCCCCCGTCTAGAACTTAATTCTAGCAATCTTGACGGCATGGAAAAAGACATCGTGTACAAAGGAGAGCTTTTTTGTAGATATCCGAAGTGCGAACACTTCAAACGATATTCACAGCCCACAAAGCTGCGAACGCATTATGAGAGAAACCACCGCTTCCGATATCAACCGTCCTCACACCCGGGCATCTTAACAAGTTTGACGAACATTTACACGCAGAGGGAATTGAATGGCTGGCAAGATGGGCACAGCTTGGACAGGACGAGGCTGGGGAAAAGCCAATGCCAACAAGGAAATAGGCGTGTGTGCACGCAGATCACAGCTGTATTCCAGGATCATGGCCTTTAGCTTATAGTGTGTCGATAGTAGGATAGCAATTGGGATAGCTCGTAAATTACTCTGCAATAAAAAAGAAGTCCAGGGAGCCGAAGAAGTCAAAGTTTATTGAAATTAGAGCTGGAGAATATTCTTATACAGACCAGATAGACGGCCTCTACGTGGGAAAAGAGCATACTGAGATTGATTTGACTTTGCGCTATTAGCATCGTCTAGAAGCTTGATTTACTAGTCGAAAGGCAATGTGCCTTTAAAAAGCTAGCTGCCTATATCCATCGATGGCCTCGGTGATGTCAAGTACAGTATTACCAAGTAGAATAACTTACATGCGATTTTAACCTAGAATACATTGAACATAACCCTAACCTACCTATTTTAGCTGGGCACGTGACCGATAATGGAAGCTCCCTCATAGTGTCAAATTGGCGGAGAATATCACCAATCCCAGCATGTTAGCTCAGGGGAAGAGCGCCGTAAGTGTCCAATGTCTGGACCCACAACAGAACCTCCACTAACCAATTACACAGGGGCTCATAACCCGGAGGGTATGTTTCACCGACTCCGTCAATTACTCGATTCATCCAACTAACGGTCAACCAGACCCTGGATCGAAACCAGGACATGCTATGTCTATCTTTTTTTTCTTTTTCTTTTTCTTCTTAACTTATTATTTATTGATATTTTGGCAGGGGCCTTTTGGATATACCTACCATCGTTTTACTCAGTGTGCAAAAAGTAGTTATATCTATACCTCGTTCAATGCATATCTATCTGGCAATCTAAACGAAATGGCATTTGCTAGTGGAAGTTACCAGCCACAAGTAGGAAACATTTGACAGTTTTGTTTGCTCATGACACGAGAAGAACTGATCAGACTTATGCCTCAGGGGAGAACAGAAAATGGTAGGAAAGAAATACGCAGACATTAATTATAAAATGGACAAGGAAGAGAAGAGAAGTTAGAGCAGCGCTGAAGTAGAGCGAAACAAAAGGCGAACAAGACCAGACACAATCATTCAAGATATACCAAGACCTTCACCTTCCCTTCGCTTGACAGGGAATTCAAGAAATCATTCACCAGGGGTAGCCTTGCTCATGCTAATCAGACGCTTCACACCGACCTGGAGTTATAGATGTTAGTTGTCAATCCATATCAGAAGGGGTAAAGTTAAGGTTGACTCACCATCCAATTGCCACATTCATCATTCCGGTTGGTAATGATTGCCACCTGAATGGATTGAGCGGCGGCGTAATCACGAGCCTGGATTGCGCCAGCCAGGTTCTTCATATCCTCGATGGTGTTGGGCTTGAGCAGGTCCTCGTTGTTCAAATGGTCAAAGAGGATGTTCAAGCGGCGTTCAGCATCGTCGACCTGGACCTTGAACGCCGCGGGGGCTCGGGACTTGACGCGCGCCATATCTGCCGAGAGGATATCGAAGATAGGCTGTGCGTTGGCAGGGATATGGGAACGGTCACCGGGGGCTGGGGAAATGTCAGTTACTAGGCTTGTAGTACTCAATTGGAAGCGACTTACGGTATTTGGGAGCCGGGGGAGCCGCACGCTGCGACTGGGCTGTACTAGGCCGGGATACCTGGGGTGGCGGAGGGACTGCCTGGGCCATAGGAGGAGGCTGGGTCGCGACAGGCGTGCTAGGCGCATATGGGTTCACTGGCGGTGGTTGTGAGACCGCCTGGGTGGCATATGGAGAGGCAGCTCCCTGGGGAGGGGGAGGCACTGGGCCACGGTTCTGCAGTTGCGGGCTTGCGGCCTGAGAAGCAGGGCTCGGTGCGTACCGGTTGGTTGGTGGCGGCATGCTAGGGGGAGCATTGTAGGGGGACGGTCCTCGAGGGATCGACGCCGGAGGTGCCATAGTGGATCCCGAAGAGCCCATCGGCGGTGACTGCGGGAGACTCGCGTACGGGTTGGGAGGCGGCGGGGAAGGCCCGGGGATATGGGAAACAGGCGGGACAGCGGATGGCGGCGACATCATACGCGGGGGAGGCGCTTGTCCCACCTTAGGTGGAGGGGGCACAGATGGTGCTCGGGGACCGCCAACCGGAGGGGGCCCAGTAGGGGGAGGTCCTTGGCTCAGAGTCGGCGACTGGTTGGGGAACGGAGAGGCAATGGGTGCAGCGGCAGCCGCAGGGGTTGAGCGGCGGGGGGTGGGAGCCTTTGCGAAGCCCTCGGGCAAATCGTTCCATGCAGGAAGGCCGGTAGCGGTGGTGTATGTTGTGATGGGAGGGTTGGCCGGCGACTGGTTCGATGCACGGGGAGGGGGAGGGACACCAGCACCTGCAGGCTGTCCACCAAATGCAGATGGAGGGCCATAGCCTGTGGGTCTCATGCCCTGAGTTGGCTGATATCCAGTCGCGGGTGCGTATGCTCCTCCGCTAGGAATAGCAGCATAGGGGTTGGCCGGCTGGGATGGCGAAACAGTCGTCTGAGGGGCATACGGGTTCGCAGGCTGCGTGATGGCGGGCGCAGCGGGGGCAAAGGCGTTGGGATGAGAGACTGAGGGGGTAGCAGGGGAAGCAAGATTGGTTTGCTGCGGCTGGTAAATGTTGGGCTGTTGCGGGAGGGGCTTAAAGGCGGACTTCGCTCCAACAGTGGCCTGCGCCTTCTGCGGTGCCTGTCTCGTGGCTAGCCTGATACGGTTGCGGGCCAGTTCAGCCTCGGGATGCTTCTCAGGGACAAGGTCGAGGTACTTCTGAGCGATTTGCAGGCGTCCGTGGGTAGCGACAACATCGGCATATTCGACGTACTTGTCGTACAAGACACTCAAGCGCCACTCGGAGTCCTTGGACCGTTCCGTATCCTGGAACTTGGTGACTTGACGGAAGATAGTAACCTTCTCAATCAAACCCTGTAGGGCGCGGACGTGAATGGAGAAGCCGGAGCCGTTGGCATTGGTCTCAATTCCTTTCTGCTCGTTCTCGCGAAGTTCATCGACCCAGATGGCGACAACCTTCTCAAGCTTCGAGCCAGCCAAGTAACAGAAAGAGGCATCCTTGCGGGCACTCTTATCCTCTGCGCCCTGAACTTGCTCAAGAAGGCGGTCACCAAGGACATCGCAGAGATCAGGGAATTCCTTCTCGTCGGCAAATGTGCACAGGGCGGCCATAACCTCCTTCCAGTTGGACAGATCGGCATTGTGTACAACATCCCAGAGGTTCTTACCCACAATAGACGCGAGCAGACGCATATAGTTAGGGCCACCGGCCTGCTTAGAAAAGTAGTGTTCCTGAGCCTTCTCGACGCACTTGGGACCACCACAGATGGCAATCATGAATGCGTCAGACATGCGATCCTCGCGGAGCGCAACATCCAAAGCCTTCTCGAATTCACCGAGGAGCAGAGCACGAGTGATCTGCTGCTCTGCCTCAGTCTCTGATCCATTGAAGATCTGGAAGGGGTTGTTGGTTTGGGCACCCTTGGAAGCAGCCAGTTCAGACAGGAAGCTGTCCTCCTCGGGGTTGGGCTCAAACATAGATTGCAGGCGCTTGTGCTTCTTAGCTCCCGCCGGCTTCTCGGCGACTCCATTGGCCTGCTCGCCTTCCTTCTTGTCCAGACCAAGCTTCGCGAGGCTATCGGCAGCCTCATCAGCAGCCTGATCCTGGAAGCCCAAGTACTCGACCAAATCCTTGCGTGGGTTGGCGGAGATCAAAGCCTGCATCACCTTCCAGTCTGCCTTTTCTTCTTCACTGGAGGCATCTGTGGCCCGAGTCTCACAGAGTGTCTTGAGGTCACCCTCCTTCAAAGCGTTCTCGAAGGCTTCCGTGGCATTTCCAACGCTCTCATCAACCTCGAAAGGCGTAATCTTGATCTTGGACACACGAGAGTCCTTCTCATTAAGGCCAAAAGAAACTACCCGGCCACCAAAGCCAAAGGTGGCACCGCATGGCCGTTCGAGCCAGCGAGGAGCCTTGGGAAGAGTGAATTTGGAGACTTGAGGCTGTGTTTGGGCCTTGTTGAAGAAGTCTTCGCCGTCCAAGGCTTGGTTGTGGTCGGCAATAGCCTGAGCATTGTCGGTCTTCGTGTTCTGCAGGGTCTGGACCGAGATCCTTCCATCGAACGAGGCGGTAGCAAAGAAGTTCGGGTTGTGAGGGTTCCAGCGAGTCTGGAAGGTCCAGTTCGTGACAACGGGGAACTCTCCGTAGGCTTGACCGGTCTGTGGGTTCCAGCAGATGTTGCGGTTATCCTTACCGGAAGAAAGAAGAAGGCTTGGGTCATGGTCACACCATGAAAGGGAAAGAACACCTGACTCGTGGCCTTTGAGTGTCTGTAGAAAGCATATTAGCATCCGATGCCTTGAGGATGGGCAGTAAACATACCCGCTCGGGGGCGTGGGAGTTGCGCAGATCCCAGACATAAAGGTATGGGTCTGACTCGAGCGGTGTCGATGTGATGAGCTTAGTGGGCTAGACACAATTTGTTAGCTAGACTAGTAAAGCATCGATGAGAAGCATAGTGATATCTACCTTCTCAGGGTCCCATGCGACTGCGCTGACAGCTTTCCGGCCCATGTTGTTCAATGTCAGACTTTCTTTCTTGGTCTTGACATCCCAGACTGTGACAAAACCGGCGCTACTACCGGTAACCAAAATATGAGGGACCTTCTTGTTCCAGTCCAAACAGTCGATGTCATCTGTGCGGGCGGCGTTGTTACCCAAGCGAAATGGGTTCTCGAGGTTGTTTAGGTCGGAGATGAATAGCTCTCCCTTTGCACCACCAGTGGCGAGAAGGTTCGAGTGTTTGGGGTTGAACTGGAGGGCCTTGATGGCGCCGCTGTGTTTGGTTGTCCTTGACATCAAAGCATCGCTGGGAAGTCGGTTAGCAAGACCCGATGATTATTTGGCATAGATGTTCCACCAACCTAGATCCAGCAAGTAGCTTATCAGCGTTCCATAGATCCAACGATCCGTTCTCCAAACCGCCCGCAATGATACCCCGTTTGCTGTCCTCGGATGTAGTCCAGGCGAGATCGTTGAAGCTAGACACAGTATTCGATCAGCAGACTGCTCCCCGTCAAGTCCTGGATGACAATCATACCCAGCGTCCGTATCGATCTTAGCTAGTGGCTGCAGCTCCTCGCTCGCGTCCTCGCGGTCGAGACCCAGATCCCACAGCTCGAGACATGTCTTGTTGGAGAAGTCGGCATCGACAGCCCCAGCGCGGGTTCCGGTGGCGATCAATGGCGATGCGGCCCCGGGCGACCAGGCGAAGGTGGCCGTCCTTGGGATTTCCCTCAGACGCACCATGATGATGGTATGGCGGTATGTTTTGGAGATGATCGAGGCCAATAGATCAAAGGAAAGAAAGGAAAACGAGAGCTTAAATAAAGGAAAGGATCAAGAATCACCCCCTATGAATAATTGACAACGGGGTGATGTTCTAGAGGTCCCAAGTATAGTAGTAAACCAAGTGGCCTCCTGGACTTGGAGGGACCGGGGAACTCGCGCTAAACTACTATGGGACTCGCCAAAACACCCCCGAGGCTTGGGCTGCACGTGATATCTGTTCCGCTCTGGGTGAAGGGGTCTTGAACATAAGATCCTGCTTTAATTGCACGCGCTACGCTCTTTTCATTTCCAGCAACCTCGAATTTCGTCGCATCGCCCCCTATATCTGAGATTCCCACAAGTTGAACCTGAGCGGAACTGAACACCATGAGCGAAACCACTCGGTTGAAGAGCACCGTCTACGTCGGAGGACTTGACCAGTCCGTAACTGCGCACACTCTTGCAGAAGCATTCGTTCCTTTTGGCGAAGTTGTCGATATTTCGCTGCCTAAGCCGGATCAGCCGAACTCCACCGACGTTCACCGTGGATATGGATATGTTGAGTTTGATCTACCACAAGACGCCAAAGAGGCAATCGACAACATGGACGGCAGCGAGATTTACGGACGCACTATCAAGGTTGCTCAAGCAAAGCCGCAGAAGGATGCCAACGAGGGATTAGGCAGCAAGACCGCAATTTGGGAACAGGTGCGTAGGACTCGATTTTATCTGGTCGCATTCGGAACTAACCCCATTGCCTACAGGAGGGCTATTTGGCCAAGCATGCAGTCAGCGAAGAGGACCGGGAAGCTGCCGAAGAGGCGCAAGCTGCCAGCGGTCGTCCGCAAGACCCGATGCAGGGCTTAGAACAGCTAGATGTTGCCGGGCCAAAGCCCGAGTGAAGCATGCTACACCTTACGATAGCTACGACGAAAATGACAAACAAAAAAGCATAAATCCAAAACACGACAGTACTATTTGTCACAAGTACATCATCAGGAACCAGGCTCGCGAAGTCGGAATATGTACACGGGCTCCCGAACCCGAGCCCGTTCCTTTTTGTCTCCGCTGCTTTGCTCAAATTATGCTCAGCGGCTTCACATTCTCCTAATCAACAATACAAGCGGCAGGAATTCCAAAAAGCTGCGAATCGCATTGAGGAGCTCAAAGAAACATGATGGTACATTTAGTGCTCACGGCTCTCGGGGCTGTTGCGGTAGAGACGCAGGGTCTTATCGGTCATCAGCTTCTTGCCGCAAGAGTAGATGGCAGCGCCGACGGCAACACTAGAATCATGGCAGTTAGCATCGCACACAAGCTGAGTTGTCCGGCAGAGCAGATAGGAGAAAATTCGGGTATGGGCTCCGGGATTGAGCGGGAAATTGTATAAGATAAGTTTAGACATACGCGAGGACGAATCCTAAATGTCAAAAGAATGTTAGATTGATTATTTGTCCCCGACTTGTAGCAAAAGTAGTATGACATACCGATGGGGAGCAATTCTGGGGGGATTCTCTTGAGCTGGCGCAGACGCTGGGAGATGGTGTGCGCTGTAAACACAGGGTTAGTTCAATTGCCATGAAATGGTCGCGAAGCCAATTTATATGGCTCCGTTTATCACCAGATCTAGTGATCCAGGAGATTCATACCGCTATGAGGCTCCTTCTGTAGCCAGGAGTTAGTAACCGAACCGATCATATGATCACGCCTCAGCCGAGGGAGAAAGGAACATACCGGGGAAGCAAAGGCAAAGGCCCGTGTGGGCTGCATTCGCAGCATGCGAGTAGGATACATGGCGAGAGTGAGTTGCTAGACGAAGTGCAAGCAAGAGAAGTAGTGGGATGAGGAGGTTGGACGGGCAGCTTTCCAGAAACGTGACTGGCTCGGGTGTAAAAGCGAGAACGCTCAGTGGCTCTCGCTTGACCGCCCGCGGTCATACCCGGCACTTCACAGCTTCAATCACCCAACGTCGCTCTTCCCGGCTCACTTTCTCCCCTCCTCCTGATCATACCACTCCAATTCTTTTTCTTGTGTGTTGTTTCTTCTGGAGCTACACATCGCAAATATGGGTGCCATTCCGGAAGCCGACCCCGATGAGGTTCTTGAGACCAAGCCCTTCAAGTTCGTGACTGGTACGTTCTCTCCCCTCTCCCACGAAACCGGGACCAGACGCCCAAAATAAGAGTCAATGGCTAATTGAATTGCAGCTGGTGCGTATATATCCGAATCCTGTCCGCTTGCTTCGCTTCGAGGATGCGTTTGGACTGTTACCCCCCGATCGGCTGGTGGATGGTGAAATTGACAATTTTTGATTGAATCGCAGGCTACGACGCCCGTTTCCCCCAGCAGAACCAGTACGTGATTTCGTCCCTGTTCGATAATATATGATTACTAACGTTCGTTCCGTTGTTAGGACCAAGCACTGCTGGCAGAACTATGTCGACTACTACAAGTGCACCGCTGCCAAGGGCGAGGATTTCCGCCCCTGCAAGCAGGTATGTCAGGCAATATTCAAATGGAAACACAGTGATATCTAATCTGTCTTTCTGCAGTTCTACCACTCCTTCCGCTCTCTGTGCCCCAAGGCCTGGACCGACCGTTGGGACGCTCAGCGTGGTACGTATTGAATCGCCTGATTTTGCTTTCATTCATGCTAACGATTCATTACAGAGGCTGGCAACTTCCCTGCTCACCTCGACAAATAGATAGCCAACGAGCATTTTGGGTTGGTTAAATGAGCTGTGTCAATTTTATGTATCGTCAAGTTCCAATGTACTCTACTGGGTCACGCGGGATACAGTTCCCTATCTTCCTAGGCCATTTTGTCCATCAAGGCAAGAAAGGATGTCTATAGACTCGCCGTATCGCAAAGACACTTATTGTTAGCTGGTGCTAGTCGTACTAAGTTAGGGTAATTTCTCTGTCGTTGTAGATATTGTTTTGCCGGCCATGGCTTACAATCGCAAATTAAGACCACCCAGGAAACAGTTGTCCTTGCGGAAATGCTTTAAGTGCGATTCAGTGTGTATCTAATTCTATATGATCCCAGTCTCCCAGCAAGACGTATCCACCACATCCTGTACAGGGTAGGCCATGTTCAAGGCAGGTGTTGTTTGACTCACCGTGACCATCACTCAAGTCTCTAATGAAAGAGACCCCCAAAGAATGCTAGCTATATACAAGCCAAAGAGTTGCTCGTAAATCCCAAAATTGCACCACCCAAACATAAAATAACAAAAGATGGCAAAAGTCGTATATACCGAGAAATGATCGGGCAGAGGCGTAAATGAGGTTTTGAGATGGCGAATGATGAAAAAGGTAGCCCGAAGAGAGATGGCAGCTTTGCATCTCTACCTTTATAGAGCCTTCATCTTACGGTAAAGCTTCTTGTGCTCCTCAAGGAAGAGGAAGGTAGCAATGGTGTGAGGACCCAGGCGAATAAAGCTAGGCACCCAACCACGGAAAGTCCATGCAAGGCCTTCCTTGCGACAGATATCACGCAGAAGACCCGCAATGGTATGGCCGCGGCTCTCAGCAGGAGAAGCGCTCATAATGCGAGTCTTAATCACATCCACAGGACTGCAGACGGTAGTAGCCACGAACCCAGCCATGAACGATGCTGTGAAGTGTGTGCCCAGGTTATCGGCCATGCCGGCCTTCTCGATACACATGCGCTTGAAGGTATCGTAAGAGGCAAGTTGCGAGGCAGTCATGAGAATCGCACGGGTGGAGTTGGGCCACACTCCACGGAAGAGAGAACCGAATCCCTCTGTCTTGGTCATCTGCACGAGGCCGTGGAATGCGTGGCGGTAGTTGCGACGCTGGGCTGGAGGGAGGGCTGCGTCGGATTGCATGCGGACGTTCATCACATCGGCTGGGTTACCGGCAATACCACCGATGAAGCCGGATGCGCAGGCCATGCCAACCAAGGTCAGCATGCTCGGTGCAGCGCCCGCTTCTGAGGGCGTGGCGAAGCGCGACTTCAGTTCTTCGTATATACCAAATCGAGTTGTGGAATACGTTATTTGTCGGAGGAGCGCGGCCGAGAGCTATAATTCCAGATCCAATTCGTCCCCTGTTAGCCAACTTTTCCCTTCATTAGTGGTGCCCTGGCATCTCTGCCATGCACGGGGTCTTGAGCTTTGCACATACACCACTATATAACCCGGTGAAACCAGTATTCTTCACAATATGTCCAAATGTGCCAATCATTGTTCTCGGCGCATCAGGCGCGCGCGTCTGTAACCGGACCTATTATGCGACAAGCGATCTATCAGCGTCTGGGCTCGAAACCACGGGTGGCCACAAAAGGACCGAACCGTCTCGGACGGAAAGCCGCCACATACCTTGACTAGAAACACCATGTCAGTATGAATAACGCTATCAGCTAGGAACCAACATACCCAAATCCAGCGGATGCGTCACGCCTGCAGCAAAGCATGACGCGGAACCTCCAAACCAAAACGGATAATGCATCTGCTTCGGTTTTGAGGGCGTCTGAACGGGCGCGACCCGGTGGGCAGGAGCCTCCAACATCTTGCCGTCTGACATGGTGACTTAGATCCCTATGAACAAGAAGAAAAAACAAAAGGAGGGGAGAGCTGAAGTAAGGCTCTTTTTTTTCGGACTTTGACGTAATTTCGTCAAAAACCAACGGAGTCAAATCAGACCTCCGAGACCCACTCGGCCCGTCAGTCTGGGCCAATCACATCTATCTGACTCATGGCGGCTGCATAATCTGGCCAATCACGGCATCGGTTATGCGTTTCCTTTGCGCCGATGGAACAAACGCTCTGTAAGGGACATGCAACCCCGAGTCCCTGAATGCTATAGACGGCTATTTCTCGGTGGTTGAAATGGGCACCGAGGCTGTGATCGCGAGTATCGCCATTGATGTCTCCGCGTTTGATCTCTGCGGACTTTATTCGGCTATGGAGATCTTCGGATTTATTGCGGGTGTTTGGATAACCGAGGGACGAGCCTTGGAGGGGTGTAGAGGGGTGATGAGATATCCACAAAACCTAAGTTTAGGTGAGACGATCAGGGTATAGCGTGTATTGATGCCCACAGTAGACACGGTCTAATGAAATTTAACTGAAATTGGGCTTAGATATATTTCTTGATAGTATAAGTTGACGTTAGTTGCTGCGCGCAAATATATACCTTGGCTGTGGTTCGAGAGACTGAGCAAAAAGAAATTACTAGTGCAATGTATATAGTTCTAACCAAGGGGACAAAGATATGCGACACATTGTATTGAATTTTTAGTAAAATAGCAGACAGTAAGTGGACAGTTTCACAAAATATATAGCATGTGTAGGGCCAACACCAGAAGCAACAGTGAAAACAGTGAAAGAAAGCATTTCCAATAACCAGACTAAGATAGAGACAAAGTTGTGAAGTATTGCATCCATTCCATGCTAAAACCATTCTCAAAATGCACACCGAGTTTCCTGTCTGAACTGCGGATTGATCTCCATCAGATATGATAATGTACTTCGGGGACTAATTTCCCCGGCCCGAAGATGTTTTGATAGACGTTAACCGCAGACAATTTCAAGCTCGACCAACCCCCAGACTCACCACCAAAAATGCGGTTGTTCGCAACAGGCCGAGCCTTGCGCGCCAGCAGTGGCCGCTGGGCAATTGCCTCAACCCGGCCCCGAACCGCCATTCCGCGATCCCTCCCACTGAAGTCGATCACCCTCACCCGCAATTGGAGCTCAACCACAGCCCGCCAAACAAACGAACCAAAGAGCACAGCCTCGCAAACACCAAAGCAACCCTCAACCCTCAATATCGAGGGCGACACCTACCCAACCGACCAATGGACCAACACCCCAGACACAATCCTCTCCCACGTCGGACGACGCCTTTACCTAGACGAGAACCACCCACTCGCCATAACGCGCAAGCTAATCGAAAGCCAATTCCCGACCCCAAGCTACGGCAATTACTCAGAGAAGAACCCAGTCGTCTCAACAAAACATAACTTCGACGTCCTCGGCTTCCCGGCAGACCACCCAGGCCGCAGCCGCACTGATACCTACTACGTCAACGACAAGACCGTCCTGCGCACACACACAAGCGCCCACCAGCAAGCTTACTTCCAGCAAATCGCCCGCAATGAAAAGACCCGCCCAGACGAAGTTGGTTACACTGTCATCGCGGATGTCTACCGCCGCGACGCAATCGACCGCAGCCACTACCCTGTCTTCCACCAGATGGAAGGTGCAATGCTGTGGAAGCGGCCAGCCACGGACCCGCTAGCAGCGTCCAAGGAAACAGCCGCTAAGATCATGGCTGATGTGGAGAAGATCCCTAAGCATGATGTTGTCGTCGAGGATCCTAACCCGACTATCCATGATCAGCGCAATCCCTTGCAGAGTGAGCATCATAGCGCCGAGGAAGTCGAGGCAGTGGCTGCGCATTTGAAGCGCTCGCTTGAGAGGATGGTTATTAAGATTTTCACGGAAGCAAGTAAAGCCGCGGCGGCTAGTAGCGGCGGCGATGTCGAGGCTGAGCCGTTGAAGGTGCGCTGGGTGGAGGCTTACTTTCCCTTCACGAGCCCGTCGTGGGAGCTGGAGGTCTTCTGGCAAGGGGACTGGCTGGAGATCCTGGGCTGTGGAGTGATCAAGCAGGATTTACTGATCAATTCGGACGTGCCGGACCGCATTGGCTGGGCTTTTGGACTTGGTCTTGAGCGTATTGCCATGTTGCTCTTCAACATCCCTGATATCCGGTTGTTCTGGTCGCGCGATGAGCGGTTCCTGTCCCAGTTCCGGGCTGGGCATATTGCGCGCTTTGAGCCTTTCTCTAAGCACCCGGCTTGCTATAAGGATGTTGCTTTCTGGTTGCCTGGAGCTGCTGTGACTGGTGGCGGTAGTGCTGCTGGGGGTGCGGTGCCTTTCCATGAGAATGATGTTATGGAGATTGTTCGGTTGGTTGGTGGGGATCTTGTTGAGGATGTTACTCTCATTGATGAGTTTACGCATCCGAAGACTGCGCGGAAGAGCATGTGTTATCGGATTAATTACCGCAGTTTGGAGAGGACGTTGACGAACGAGGAGGCTAATGAGATCGATCTGAAGGTTCGGGAGAAGTTGGTCGGTGATCTTGGTGTTGAGTTGAGGTGATTTCGGCTTAGATCTTGTACTATACTGTTACTATTAGATGTGAATTTGTAAATTATAGCATTCATTAAATCAAAGCCTTTTGGATACTCGCGCGAGTCTAGTATACTGACCCAAGCATCTACCTAATTGAAGCACTACATTATAAAGCAGTCCATAGAAAGAGACATGAAAACATCAGAGGCTATGACAGCGCCCCAGAAGGTGTATATTGTACAGATGAGGAGGAGAGAGGTAGCAGAGGATAGCGACCCAGATTGCACGAAACAAGTGAAACACAACACCCACACGAGACAATCCAGACGCCTCCAGGCACATGCAACAAAGGTGTATCATACAACCGAATTCAAGAGACAAGCAGAAAGGAAGGAAAGGTTTCTCCCGGGTCCAAAATCCAGCCGTATCCGAGTACAAAACCCTATCGTGATCATGATGTATGGTATATGGTACAGAGAAGAAAGGAGTGAGGAAAAGGCGGAAAGAAGTGAAGAATTATAAGGTATTGTCGGAAGAGATTTAGTCGTTCTTGACGACACCAACCTTAGCAGCCTAACAGAGAGAAGAACGTCAGTCATAATGGGCATCAATACTGAAATAGCAGTGGTACTCACCCGCAGAACGCGGCCGTTAAGGGTGAAGCCCTTGCTCTGGACGAACATGACATCTCCATCCTCGAGACCCTCGGACTTGGCCATGAAGGTAGCCTCGTGCAGGTTAGGGTCGAACTTCTGGGCCTTGCCATCGACCTTCTCGCCGGGGTCGAAGCGCTCGAGACCGTGCTTCTGCAGGGTGGTCAGGAGGATGTGTTGGGTCATCTTAAGACCGGAGACGAGCTCAAGGAAGTCCTTGTTCTCTTCGGTCTTCTCAGCAGAGAGCTTATCCTCGGGCACGGCCAGCAGCGCGCGGTCAAAGTTGTCAATGCTGTCAAGGAGGTCCTTGGCGAAACGCTGAATGGCGAAGTTACGGGCGCCATCCATGTCACGCTTGGTGCGCTCCTGGAGGTTGCGGAAGTCGGCGACGGAGCGAAGGTACTTGTCCTACAGAGGAATTATTTAGCATTGTGGATGGAAGGCGTGGAGCTTAGACGAATGACAAACCTTCAACTCGATCACTTCCTTGTTCTTCTCATCAAGCTCCTTCTGGAGGGGATTCTCCGCCTCTCCATTCTGAGCTTCCGTTGCCTCCTTCTCTGTGGAGTAGCAGCGGGTGGTCTGGGGCGCGAATGCCCGAATAACCGGCACACGCAGCTGTGTTTGCCGCCGCAGCGCCTGCGATGCGGGGGAAGAAGAGGAGATGACGGAGCGGGCGGCCTGAGCCTGTCTGAAGATGGATCGTTGGAACATTATGAATAGTGAGATGTGGAATTGAGAAGCTTGGGAGATTCAGAGACTCGGGATGGTTCTCGGACAAAATTCATCGAGAATCACCTGACCGCTTTAAGGAAAAACGCAGGGCCGAGTGGACCTCCTTCTACTTTCTATCAGATCTACAGAACCTCGACATGTTAGCTCTTTGAAAAGGCATGCACATTTTGTTTATAATGAAAGGGACAGCTGCTTACCAGAAAAAACTTATTCACATTCATGCAATTCAATTTCTCGGTCCTGAACTATATAAATCATTTCTGGTGATATACATCTATGGCCAAACTCGAGACCCCATGAGAAGACAAAACATATCTATTATTCCCGAAAATGAGCACCCGTCATACGCTCAATATAGCCCGCAATCTGTCCGCCATAGACCTCTCCGCTGCCTCACTGACAGGCGCAAACACATCATATCCATGAGGAAGAGCCGGATAAACATGAAGCTCCGTCTCAATATTCTCCTTTGCGATCCGCGAAATATACTTCAAATTCTCCTCAAGGAACATGTCCAAAGTGCCAACCTCCAGGTATGTACTCGGAAGACCCTTGACACTAGCCGCACGAGCCGGAGCAGCATACTGTGACACGCGATCGGTTCCATAATCATCACCCAGGTAAGCAGACCAAGCGGTGATGTTTGCTTCAGGTAACCACGTAAGGAGACCATCCATTGCCGGAATGGGAGCAATGTTGCGGTCATCCAACATGGGATAAATCAGCATCTGCTTTGCGACGGGAGGCGAATGACCGCGATCCCGAGCCATCAGGCTGATGCTGGCTACCAAGTTTCCCCCTGCGCTCTCTCCAATTGTGATGATGCGCTTGGGATCAATTGAAAACTGAGCTGCGTGCTTCTGCAACCAGACCAATGCAGAATAGCCGTCTTCTGCGGGTGTCGGGTAAGGATGCTCAGGTGCCAATCTGTACTCGACAGAGAATACCTGCACGCCGGACTTTTGGGCAAGTAAATCCTGGGCTTTCTTGAAAACATGTGCACGGCCCATGATCAATCCGCCGCCGTGGAATTGTAGAATTGCCGGCTGTGGTGTCGTTGTGTCGAGGTCTTTTCTCCAGTGCCGGTATACAGCAATGGATTTCCGGTCATATGTTGTAATTTGATGTTCTTCATAGTTGACATCGGCAGATTCAGGGAGTAGCGTCATCAACTTCACAAAAACAGGTTCCACGCTAGCTCGAATGGACAGTGGGTTGCTTCTATCAGGCTGGGGGCCATTGGCTTTAGCTGCCAACAAGGGCGCTACAGCCTTTTGGAAGACTGGGTCGAATTGGAGAGGCATTATGTGGGTATATATTGGAGTAGGCTAAATTGATTTTGGTGCACAATAAAAGATAGAACATTTGAAGATCCAAGAACGAGCATCTTTATAACAGATCAGACTCGGCCCCCGTGCTTGGCGGGGCGAGCGCTTAGATAACTTTTGGGGCCGAACAGGGATCGAAAGTCTCCGCTGACACCCAAAGGGGCCTCGGGATCGGCTTGATTGATGCCGCAGACGGGTCGGTGAGTTTCATTATGGATTTGTCCGTATGACTCACTTCTGTATTTGATTAATTCAGTAGGCAGTTGTGAGACAAGAAAGACGAAAATGATATTCGAAAGAATTGCAAATTAGGCAAGCCTCAGAGATCCCCCTGGTAACTATTGCCTGCCCCTCTAGCCGATTACATATTACCTCTTGAAATCACAAAGGAACAAAGAGACAACACACATTCCTAACCACCGTATACACGAACCAATTTAATAATGCTGGTTCCATCGGCAAGTATTTCCTTCTCTTCCTCGAGATGATAATCTCCCCAGCGAGGCAGCAACACCGTCCAGATGTACCAATAGAGAACCCCGAAGAGGAGACTGCATTTGTTAGTAATATTCCAATGTATAACTATGAAAATGTCTTCAAACTCACATTCCAATACCAACAATTGCATAGGTCGCATAGAAGAAATCGACGTCCCCTTGCCAGTTGGGCGGCGGGATCCATGGGGTTATCAACAGAGTCAGGCATACCGCGACTCGTAGCCAGACAGCCGGCAACCAAGCCTTAAAGGGCCGCACAAGATCTGGCTCCCGATAGCGAACTATAAGTAGACCGACTGTAACTGACAATGCAAAGATCTGTCCTGGGTATCCCTCCAAATCTAGGATAAAGTTGTAGACGTCGCCTTGTGGCGGGAGAGAGATGACCAGAGCAGAGGGGATATAGTGCACAATCAGTCCACCGAGTGGAGTACCAAACGGCCGCGTTGACGAGAGAGCATTCTGCCATGGAAGGAACCCTTGTCGTGCTATTTCCTGGTTGACGCGCGCCTATAGTGTATACGTTAGTCTGAACCTTGTGGCCCAGAGGGAACAAACATACTAAGGCAAAGGTCACAACCATCACATTTCCAGCTGCGGAAATTGCGATGGCCAGCGGGAAGAAAACCTTTCCAATATGATCACCAAATAATCGTTGAAACAGCAACGCGCCCACCAATTCTCCGCTGTTTTTGATCTCTTCCAAAGGAATAACGAGAAAGTACGAAAGGTTTGCCAGGGTATACAATGCCCCAGCTGTCAGCAGGGCAGTGGGACAAACAGTCTTCACTATACCAACAGGGTCATGTACCTCATTGAGAACATTGTTCACGTTGTTTAGACCGGCATAGGAGTAGTAGACCTTAAACAACGCCGTCGAAAGCACGCTCCAGCTCCAATTTGATCCTTCCCACATTAAATCCCAAGAAAATGAACTGCCAGACTTTGCTCCTGGGGAGAAGTCATCAGTATTTCCATATAACTGGAGAAATACTACCCAGATTCCCGTCAAAGACATTGCACCAATGAGGAATATCTTCACCCATCCGAGGATATTCTGGATATAGATCCCCGTTTTCAAAAAGCAGCCATGAATGATAGTAATGACCGTCAAAAGACCAACAGCAAGTGCCTTATGTTGAGACTCAGTCGGCTCAGTACCAAGTGCAAAGAAGATATACTTCGAGAAAATGATGCAGTTGCTGGCCGTGAATCCCAGAAGCACCGCCTGGACTGCGATGAGGCTCGAGGCAAGAAACCGCGGTCGGGGATAGGTATACTCAAGGTACACCTATATACAACACTCCAGTTTAGCCGATGCATCTCTTGTGTGTTACAGCGGTATTTTTACCTTTTCCCCTCCTGACCGAGGTAGCATGCAACCGTACTCCATCGACACTGCCATACCACAAGCTGACAATATCGTTCCGACCAGCCATACTAAGAGAGTCAATCCAATACTTCCGGCGGATTTAACAATGGAGCCTGGAGTAGCGAAAATACCGCTGCCGATAACACGGGAAACGACTAATATGTATGCGCTTGACCAGTTGAGGCTTTTTCTATAGGTCGCTCCTGGTAGTGTATCGGGATATGGCGCGGGGAGCTCATCATGTGTATTATCTTGTGGTTGAGTTGTACTTTGTGAAATGGCATCGGAGTGGCTTGATGCGCCCAGAAGAGGCTGTGTTTCCTGGATACCCATGGTGAGGGTTTGATGTAGGAAACAAGAATCCCACGTCCGATTTAAATATTTCCAAGCAAAATCAACGAGTATCAAGACAGCCAGTGTTATCCACAGGAGATAAGGTGCTTTTTCGGAAGTTGCTTGGAAATCATCATATTGGCTGGCACGTCATTCAGGCCGGATGTTGTGTATTCCATCCCTGCGTTCGGCTGATTCAAGAATGGTACTTATGTTGATTGATCACTTGAAATGTAAGGTTGAGATTTAGATTGCTTATCATTTTACCCATCTGGAGTTTCTTGATTTCTTATATGTTGTTAATTCATTTCTGCATCACATGTAACAGCTGTAAAAGTACGACAACCCCAAATAGTCCAGATGATCCTTCTCAATATGACCCAAATTCCAGTAAGTGTCGGTCTAAAGATGACACTGAGCTTAGATATAGCATACCAAATGGATTTATAGGAAATGGGACTCGAGATTTCACTACAAATCAGAGTTGGCTATAGATCCAGAATAAGTAGTACTTCCATCCATGTATGCCACCGAACTGCGATGTCGACTGTCCAATCCTGAGCAAACGTTTTTATGCCTTCTGGTACATTAATCAACCGGTTAACTAGCTAAATATGTTACCACCGAAACCCTCCAGTAATAATGACCACCGGACAGATTCTATATTAGACTGTGCCACTTCTCCCTGTAATGATAAAGTCCCAACCTGAGTCCTGCATCACCTCTGAAATTTTTGCAAAGTAATTGCAATTTTCATACCCGTTGGTAGATGAGCGCAACGCAATCCGAGAATACGGTCGAAATTTAACCTCCAAGCCATTAAATACTTTAAAGTGTAAGAACCATCCCACCCCTATCTGCACCTTTGCTGAGGATAGGAGAAGGATTACATGAAAAACGGATCAAAGGTGATGCTGAGCTCGACACCATCGATTCGGTGGTTTTCAGTAAAACAAAACCAAAAGGCTCAATTTCATACGACTTCCGGGACTAAAAGCGATCTGTTACCAGTAAAATAAAACCAAAAAGCTCGACTTATTAGGATCCCCGAGGGCTAAAAGCCATCTCGCAACTTAGTCTTGAGAATTGAATGTGCCGTTAATAGATTAAAACCAGTTGACGGAAGCTAAAGAGCTGGCAGTGAAGCAGTACTTCCAAGTTGCCCAAGTTACCTTCAAGTTAAACAAATGCCCCCCAAGATATTTGATAGTAAGGAGACAGTCAGGTCTATTTGGTCTCGCAATCTTTCAACTCTGGACATTGGCCCTTCTTGGCACTCCTACTCTGTCTCTCCTTCTCTCTTTTTGCACCGGTTGCCTTAATTATTGCCCCTGTCAGCACTCAAAAGCCTCCGTCTTTCATTATTGGCCCAAATTTTCGCGCAGCATCCTCAAGCCAAGAGCATAGTTCTCAACTTCTGCAGTACAGACTCCATCGGGCATTTGTCCC